GAGAGGCTCATTCTAAATCAACATGTTGCGTTGTTTCAATAAGACAGTGAGCTTTTTCTTCAGCATTATACCCAGAGTCTAAATTTTCCTCCATTTTTTGTATGTTGAATCCTGTAAATGGAAATTTACTTTGTAAATACACACTGTTTGCTCTTTTACTTCCAATGTTCTCTCAACCAAGGATTGGTTGTGTAAAAATTGAATAATCCTCTGAAAATTTCTGCTTGGGGGTTATAAACTATGAATAACCTTTCTGACTTAACAAGATTTTCTTTTTGTGCTTTCAGTTAGATTCTGGCTAACAGTCTTCTGAAGAAGGAGTTTAACCAAGCCCTATTGATTATGTGTGAACATTTACTTCTGCGTGTTGTGCTGAGGAATAATACTAGTTTCTAGTATTTAGTTTTACTATGATTAGTCACTGCTCAAAGTGCTGTATGTTTATAAATTCATTTAATCCTCATGATAGTAGGGAAATAGTCTTATACTATTAGTAGCTCATTTAAGAAAATTTCAGTGGAAATGTGTGTCTCAGAGGAGGCTACATTGAGTGAGTGCTAATCGCAAAGACTAGACCCAGTGAGAGCTATGTTGGACCCACAGAACCTAGATTAAAACTGCAAGAAAAAGGAAATTAAAGAGAAGCAAAAAACTAAGTTGACTAAGTTAAACTCTGAAATCATGATTAAAACACTGAAATGACTAAATTGACTTTGATTTGGTTAGATTAATTGTTCTACAATAAGAAAACTTAAAGCTTGAGAATTAAATTATACCAAGCACATGCAAGCAGAAGGCTGTAAAATTATACCATATGCACTTAAATTTTAATACACAGTAACGATGACTGTGTATGGTATTTACTTTTTGTGGTGGGCAAGATAGGGTGGAATACTGGGTAGGGAAGATATTATTATAGTCTTCAATATAACCAATGTGATAAATGAGGCTGGGAAAAGTTATTAACTCAATGTTTTACTGCTAATAAATGATGGAGTTTGAACTTGAGTCCATGTCTTCCAGATCCAATTCTGCATACTTTCATTTGGACCACATTTATTTCTATTATGTGATGGTGAGCCCTACCGAAAAAAATTAAAGGAGGGCAGCTTCTACTCTAAGTAAGAAAGAGGAACTATTAATTTGTTAACATTTTAACATTCATTTCATGGTTATTACTTTGGATTTTATCTCCTTTGTATATTTTCTTAAAAAGTATTTCTCAGTGATGATGCATAGATTCTCAAAAGCTTCTTCTTCTTTTTTTTTTTTTTGTCACTAGGGATTGAACCCCAGGGCACTTAAGCACTGAGCCACATCCCCAGACCTTTTTATGTTTTATTTTGAGACAGGGTCTTGCTAAGTTGTTTAGGGCCTCACTAAATTGCTGAGGCTGGCTTTGAACTCATGATTCTTCTGTCTCAGCGTCCTGAGTTGCTGGGATTATAGGTGCATACCACCATATCTGTCTAAAAGCTTTTTAAAAAAAATTTGGAGACATAAAAGACAAATTGGGAAACAACTATATATATATATGTATGTATGTATATATATATATATATATATATATATATAAAATTCTATTTTTATTTCCACCTTCTAGCAAAATGTGGAGGAAGGACTTGAGCTAAAAGTCTAGAGACAGAAGCAGAGAATATGTTATCTGAAAGGATATTAGATTACTTATTGTCTACTGGAAGGGTTATCATGACAAAAATTTTACCAGAACTTCTGGTGTTATGCCTTCAGATCAGGGAAAAGGGGGAAAATATTTGAAGTTGTTCTTTAGTACTGTTTGGGCTATTCTGGGTCCTTTCTTTTTAAAAATATTTCAAACAACTTGTCACATTCAAATCTACCTTCCAAATCAGGAGGGGTTTTGATTGCAATTACTTTGAATTGACAGATAATTGGAGGGAATTAATACTTGTACAATTAGAGTCTCCTTATCTCTAAATATATCAATTTTTGCTGACATTGTTAGATTTAATCCTAGGCATGACAGTACCTTTTCCTTTTAAATTCTTAATTTTCTACTAATTTGTTACTATGGTATGGGAATATAATTAATTTTTGTATAGTGATTTTGTATACAGATACTTCATCAAAACAGTAATTTTGGCTTTCTCTGTAGAAAACCATATCACATGTAAGAAATAATTGTTTCCTAATTTACACTCTAATTATTTTGCCTCTTCTTTTGCTTTACTTCATTTCTGAGAGTTTCTGGTTCAGTGGAAGAGGTGTTAGCAGGCACTTTTTAAAATTCTTCATGATAAAGGAAAAGCTTTAATCCTAACCCCAATTTTAAATGTTAATCTGACTTTATTCTGGATTTGAAAATTAACTTTGAACTGGTGGATACACTATTAAGTTTGATGTTTATTACAGGTTATGTGTTATACTCTTTCTGTTATTGTTGTTAGTCTTTGGTAGTTTCCTTTCAAATGATTTTTAAATTGTAAATTGATTTTTAGATCCACTGAACATTTTTTTCTTCCTGTATTGAAATAATTGTCAGATTTTCTTAACACTATGTTAATGTGAAGAATCCCATTAAATTACTTTTCAATATAAAACTTGCAATTGACTGATAATATGCATAACATTTATGGAATTTCAACATTAAACTCAAATTGAATTAGCACACACATAAGATATTATGTTTTCACATTCAGTTTCCTAATTCCTATTTTTAAAGATTCTTCAAAAATATATTTTGGGGCTGGGATATAACTCAGTGGTAGAACACTTGCATAGCATGCACAAGGTTGCATCCCTAGCACCGCTATCATCACCATCACCACCACCAACAACAAAATCAAACAGGAGAAAAAATTAGTCCATAATTTCCCCATCTTTTACCATTATTGTCTGGCTTTGATAGCAAGGTTATACTAGTCTCATCAAATTAATTGGGGAGTTTTTTATCTTTTCTGGTCTCTGAAACAGTTTACACAGAATTAAAATTCTGTTCTAAAAGATTCACAAAATTGGCTGATAAATTTGTCTAGTTTGATTATTTTATGAGTCTTACTTAAAATATCACATGAAACTTAAACTTAGCAATTTTTGAGTGCCCAGTTGATAGCATATTCCTTTTGCTAGATATTTGAGAATAGTTTTAGAATAAAGTTTCAGGTTATGTTTTTCTCACTTATGGGTATTTACACTTATGACTTTAGACCTATGAATCTCCAAGAGAGATTTTGCCCACATTGGCCAAAACATAGAAATCCCCTCCAGAAGGTGAGTTTTTTTTCCCGCCCCTATCTCATACTTTGACTGAGAATACAGTCCTTGGGATCTTAACTCTCCCCTCTACTCCTATGTTTGTGAATCTTTGGATTCTTGCTTATGCTTTCTTTGATGATGTCCATTGTTTTCTTACAGACACAGAGATATATATTATACAATGATTTCTATTATTTGGCCTCAAGATTTCCCAGACAGACAAAGACTCTCGTCTTTGGAAAAAAAACCTTTGAATTTCTGTCTTGGTTACAAGCTATTTTTATTGTTTACTCCAGATTACTCAGGTTTGTCTCTGCAGTGGGGGCCTATGTTTGATATTTGCATTTCCAGAACTTACTAGGAAATTTTTACTGAATTAAAGTACTTCACTTGGGAATGACATGGCTAATGCTGCCCTAGAGTAACAATTTTAACTATTTCCCTTTTTAGATTATGTTTGAATAATAAAACTGAAACCATGTGTTCACTTTTACTCTTTCATTCCTTGGAACAACACACTCCCTACTAAAAATAAGAGAAAAAAAATCTAATTTGGTAAAATCTACATACTCGAGTAAAAGCAACTCATTAAAGAAACCAATATAATTTTGGAACAAAGCTGTTACACAAAGCTTCTTATGGAATATTTGCCTGTGGCTGACATATAAAAATGTATTTAATAATAATCTTTTCCACATAATAAGACACGGTGCCCATATCAGGACTGAAAAGGTGCCATGATATGGTTTTGTCAATTGTTGCCAATAGTGCTATTTGGTAGTATTGGTTAAAAGTGTGCTTCACTACCTCCCAGACTAAAAAGGAGAGAACAAAGACAGGGATACTAAGGAAGGTGAAAGTACTGCACACATTTGAGTGAGAGGAGCTGTGAACCTAGAGAAGTCAACAGGAATGGCAGCTGCTGGGGTAAGTGAAAGGTACACATGCCAGAGGAGGCTTCCAGGAGTCTGCACAAATAGACAGAGAATAGGCAGTTAGTGAAATTGCTACTATTATCTAGACAAGATCCAATCCTAAGTAAGACACTGGAATTTAAAGTGACAAAGATTTCTAGTTAACCTTTAAGTGATGTTCAAGATAATAACAAAAACACTATCTACTGTGGAGTGGGAGGACAGAGATGTGTTTGATCATCTGTTTTGGACTGCCTTTTAGAAACTTTCAGAGACAGTATGTAACCCTCAAACTAAAAGAGCTTGAGAACTTTGATGTAAATGAGACAAATGTGGAATGCAGAAGTCATTTTCGAAATATCAGCCAAACACGAAGATGTGACAGGAGAATGTAGTCCTCAATTAGACAATTTTGACTTAAGTATTACCTTTCTTGTATTTAGCTGACAGCTGTTGGAAATAATTCATTAAAATTATTCAAGCTGAAATGTTTGTATTATTTTCTTGAGACCCAAACTTACTATAATTTGAAAAGTCATTTTATTTTTTGCACAGTGAAAATGTATCCATCAAAGAATATAATTCAGCTATAATAAATTGAATGACTAGAAAAGACCAGAAAAATGATCAGTACTATGGAATATAAATATATGTGTAGCATATAATAGGAAAGAAACAAGCAAACAGAAAGAACAAATAATTTTCACAAAATACCAATATTATATTTTAAGATTTAGAAGCACAAATTTTTTTTGAAAAAAAAATTTATTTTGTATTGACTAATAAAGAGAAATAATTAAACATGGAAAATGTATCATATGTTATTTAAAAAGAAATATTTTAAAAACTATGTTGAATTTCAAAAATAATTTTATTTCAAACAGTCCACACTAGTTCTTTAACATCTATAAAGATGCCTATGAATATGAAAAATAGAAAAGGTGTGCTTTTGACCTTGTCTTCTATTTTATTTTTAGCATGAGAATTGTGTGATCTAACATCTCCATATTTTCCTAATTGTGCACATTGTTTTGTTTTGATTGCTATATCATTTGCTGTAGTCCAATTTTTTAATGCCAATAGACCTTACGTTTTTTATGTCTTCTTTATTTTTTTGTCTGAGTATTCAGGGTTTTTCCCTTTATTTTCCTTTTGGTGTATTCATAAATATTTTATTTTTCTCTTTTAAATATTTCATTTTAATTTTCCATTTTCCCTCTGATATCTCCTTTCAATTTTGATATAATGAATTACATGACATTTTTCTCATTTCATATACACAGTGATAATTCATTTAGATTTCTATATTTCCTATTTTAACACAACATTTCTAAAATAAGATAAAAACTTATGCATGTTGTATACATGCATAAATGTATTAATAGTTTTATAATGTTTAGGTTTCCTTTCTTACTATGCTGTGCTAGTTAGTGAAAATCTTAAAAGTTTTATACATAGCTATCCAAAATGCTTTCTAAGTGCAAAGATCATAATAAAGTATGAAATATTAATTTATAAAGAGGGTCAAATAGAAATTAATCTTTATGAGTTTTCTGTTATTTAGTGGATTCAGCTTATAATTTTGGAATTATGTACTACTTCAAATTTCTATTTTCATATGATATATATATATATATATATATATATATATATATATTAAAATTTATCCAATTGGATTTTTTTAAGTGAGGAATTTCATTTTGATTAAACTTTTCTCTACACACCAGATGGCCCTGGCTTTTTGTTTTTCAGCAAATTTCCTTGAAAAATGGTACAGAAATGATTTATCTAAGTACCTAATTAACTGTTATGCTTTATTTGCTGTTTTTAGTTTGATGGGAAATTTCTGAAATAATACATTGATGTTTGAAATGTTATACTGAACTTTAACTGTAAGATGAAGCAAATGACCTACGCTCTTAAAGGTCAAGCTATAAATTATTCTTATGATGAAGCAAGATCAGATAGCCTACGAGCAAAATCTCAACCCCAGGGTTCTTGATGAAGCACGCAGACACTCTGGTTGCATCTCAAAAGCAACATGAACTTCAAGTTATGACAGCAGGCTTTGAGTATTCATTGAAATAGTAGTGGCTACACTATGAATGATTTAAATGAGTCCTTAGTTATACAACCACATCTTATAGTGGATTCTTAATGGTTCTTCAAAGTTGCCAAGAAATGGTAAGAAATTTTGTGCTTGTCATGGCATGGTGTCATTAACAATTGCAGGAGCCCAAGAAGGGTAAGTGTTGAGGTCAAACATGGGTTCAATCCAGGTGAACATGCCGAGCATCACCACTGCAACACCCAAAATATTAACGCCAAGTCCAGCTTTAACCTTGAACAGAAAAGAGCACAAGTCATTCGGAATAGAGAAACAAAACAAAACAAAAAAACCCTTGAAAAAATCTGACCGGGCATATTAAATCAGAATTCAAGTTTTGTGGTTTTATATTTCAGTGGATGAGTTTCAGGACACCACATGATAACTATCTTTCATGTTCACTTAATTATTTTTATTAATTTACTCAGAAACATTCCGTAATTGGAATTTTAGAATGTATCTGTATCTGTACTCATTTTTCTTAGTGTTCCCATTTTTCTCTCTTACATCATAATTATTGTGTCCATTAAACAATTTCACTTATCTTCATTAAAATAGAGATTGCCCAACTCCTGCTCTTGATCTGTCTTTGTTAGTACAGTGTTACCAGACCATAACTATGCACATTTGCTTGCATATTGTCTCTGGCTGCTTTCATGATCTAATGGCAGAATTGAATATTTGTAAGAACAGACAGTATGGCCCACAAAGCCTCACATATTACAGAGAATGTTTGTTCACTCCTGAATTTTCTGCATAAAACATGGATCCCCAAAGTAAAAGAGGGACACTTATCAATGACTATTATTGAGGTCTCCTTCTCTCTCCATCTAAGCCACTAATTTATTTCAGAATCTTATTTTTATTAATCTTGGCACACAAACACACACACACAGCATCACATATATTGTATGAAGCACCTTTTTTTACTAGAAAGATATTATGTGACTTCTGCATAGAAATATTTCCAGAAGTTTTACATTGCAGGGATTTAGAGACAGCAATCTGGGTCGAAGGAAGGGATCAGGGACTTACCTTGGAAATGGATTTGAATAACAAGCTCACCAACGGACATTGGTTATACTCTTGTTTATATAGATTTGGAAGTTGGTGATGAAAATTGGATATTCTAGAATATTCTCAAATAAGTTCTTAACTGACACTAGTTTTGCATTTGGCAGAAATGTGCATATTTTATCACTTAAATTTACGATTTTACTTGCTCATGAATAGAACAAGAAAGATGCCTTTTTATCTGTCAGTCACTAAACCCAATGTCTTATTTAGGAAAAATGTTGTTGCATCAATATTCGTGATAGAAACCCAGTTAGTGGATGGTGTTAACCCTATTTTTTCCTTTTGCCTTGGTCGAGGTGGATTCTGATTTTGACACGTGAAGTTTAAGTTGTGTTAAGCAATTCTGTTTTTCTCCTTTCCCCCCAACCACTCCTGATGTGTTCCTTATATCTTTATTTGCAAGTACCAATTCTAATGCCATGTTCACTATTGATGATCACTATTAAAAACAAGTTCCTAATCAGTCTTGTGTACACCTTCGGAAGCAGAACTTAGACCACGCTTTTCCTGATGGTTGATTAGTGTTTAAAAGTAGAGCTTATTCAAGATATTACATGCACATAATAATGTGTATTGGATATGGTAGCATTTTTTTTAGCTAACTCACCATGTCTATGACTTTCAGATGGCCATATGAGAAAACAATGGCATTGGGTGGATTTGCTACTGGTAGAAGGAATGCAAATGAAGTACACAGAGTAGAAGGCAGCAAAATATGAAGAGGGTTCACATGAATGGCTTCAGACTATTTTGAAAGATAAAAAGGTAAAAAGAGTTAAAGGAAAATTTTGAGAGTGGGAACCATGCATCAAAACAAGCACATTTATTATAATCAGCTTTCCCAGAAGGAAGTTGAAACCTGAAGGCATAAAATTATACACATAAATGATTATTTAAATATTATAGTCCAGTTAATTTAGAAAATAAGATATCATTTATTCCAGACACTAAATAAAAATATCAACCTTATATTATTATATAGTGCTAGCTACTGTGTTAATTGTTTTCATATACAATATACTTATACATAATATATAATATAATAAATGAATGCACTTGCATATATATTTAAAATTTTTATGAGATGGCAACTATATCCCCAAATAACACATGAATACACTGAAGTCCAGAGAGGCTACAGCAACTTCTCTAAACATGCATCTAGTGAGCAGAAGAGGTTTGGTAAGGTCTCAGGTTCCTCTGACTCCAAAGCTTCTAATTATACCACAAACTTTATTGCTTCTGTGAACAATATTCTGGAAGGAGAACTGTCAACATGAGATGTTTAAATCCTAAAGTTGCCAGGAAACACTGAGTCCCCCTTATAGCTGGAAAGGATTGAGAATGGCTCTCTCATTTATGTGTAAATGAAAACAAATCCTGGTCAGAAAGAAGATAAATGGTTCACTTAAAATTATGCTATTTGAACATGGAAAATAGTTCTCTTGAGTCAAGGTCACCGAAGGAAGCATTAATACAAAGTCCCTATAAATTACTTCTAGGAGGCCTACTTAGGTCAACAAAGATTCCACACCACAATATTCAAATAAGCAGTCCAATGAACACTACTTTTTGAAAGAAGAGAACATAAATGGGATAAATAAGATACTCACCAGTGGAGCTAATATTGGGAAGAGGATGGTGATGGTAGCTGGGTTACTGGCTACCTCGGTTAAAGATGTGACCATCAAAGAAGATATAAGAATTATTAGCCATACTGGTAATGAACCTAGAGGAGATAATTTATTTCCTATCCACTTAGATAGTCCTGATACCTATAAGACAAATTTGCAATATTTATTCATTAATAATTCATTTTAATTGGACAGAATTTACACACATGTAAAGCATTATTGGCTGAGAACTTAGTTTCCAAAATATAATTTTTAATTCTGTAACATTTTTTATGGTATGGCACCTCTGGATGGCTTTGATGTGGAGGACTGATAAGTCTTATTTCAACATTATCAACATGCTTGAGAAAGTTTAAATTATCTTCCCACTTTGTTTTAATTACATTTTAATTTTATATACTAATATATGTGGGTATTTTCATAACTCACTTAGTACTATGTGATTTTAAGAAAAGAACAGTCCCTCTAGCTCATCTCTCCCTATTCCTAAATTGTGTTAGAGGCAGCAACATTCAATTCTTATTGGCTATTTATAGCTACACTTAGAGACTAGTATAGTTATCCTTCAAAGTAATATTCTAATTATGCATTTTTTCCTAATTTTCAAAAGTAGACATTATTTACTGACTTTCTAATATATTACATGAGGATTTAATTTTCTTACACCATCCACCGTACATATATTGTCTCTTCATTCCTCCACAATCATACATCAATAATTCTTGTTAAATCATGATTTAATGCTTACCAGTATGATTGTACAAATACTTTTCCTAGCTGAGCCACTTGGCATTCTAGGATAATATTTACTTTTCTTTGATTGTTTTCCCAGGAAATAATGCTTCATTCTTTTGTTTGCTTAGTTTTCCAAGTATCTGTCACCAATGCATTATATTCTCCAATAAAACTGGAAAATTCTCCCCCAAATAGTTACTTTTATGAGATAAATTTTTGTTGTTGTTGTTTTTTCTCTTCCCATGTCCTCTCATGGAGATATCATTCTGTAATATTCCCTCCTCCTACTCCATCTGGACTAGATGGTCTTTAAATCTACACAAATAATATTCTAGGACTCCCATTTGTTCCTATGAGTTCCCTTCTCTCCCCAGCTATGGGAATCTTTCCTTATTTATGTGTTATGCTGGGGGGCAAACAGCCTTCTATTACTTCTTGAGAACTGGTGCATAGAAGGTAAATTTTGGGGAGTCTTTATACACCTGAAAACCTTTTTAATTTTATTTTTATATCATTTTGATAGTTCAGCATTTGTAAAATTTGAGATTTGAAATAACTGACATGCTGTGTATTTAAATTATTGGACCTTTTCTTGCAGATTTCAGTTGGGCTCTTCAGCCTAATCACATATGTCCAAAAGACTGGCTGCACCCAGATTAGCAGATATATTATCCTGTTTGTCTTTTCTAAATGGCATGGAAAACGCACTTTGTGAGACAATTTCAATGGGCTACTACATAATATGCTTATGACAAACTAGGATTGGCATCAGAAATGCATGAAATATGAGCAGCATACTCTCAGTTCAAAAACTGGCACAATATCACAGATGTGGGTACCAGATATCCCTTGTTATTTGTGGTTTTTATTTATATTTTTGTTTGTTTTTGTCTATGACTTTTAGATGAAAAAATACTACTCTTCATGTGACAAAAATTCATCCTAGAGCACACAGACTTTAAAAATGGGTTTTATCTATGTGCAATTAGACATGGAAAAGATGACACCATCTTTATCTCCAGGGTTTCTGAAATTCTAAATGAAGCACTTTGATATTGGGCTCTTAATAGCTCTCTCAGTATAGAATCTCTATATCTTTATCTCTGAGAAATTTCTTATATTATTTTTTTTTGGGGGGGGATGTTCTTCCTCTTAATTTTTCTCTCTTTCTGACATTTCTATTGATTTACTACATTTTTTATTGGTTTACATTGGTTTATATATTTTTTAATTGATGCTCTGCTATTCGTTTTTTGTTTGTTTTTTGTGGTGCTGGGGATTGAACCCAGGGTCTTGTGCGTGTGAAGCAAGCACTCTGCCAATGGAGCTATATCCCCAGCCTGAATGATGTTCCAATATTCTTATCTCTCATTTTGAACATTTCCTTTCTTTTACTTTTTTTATTGTATTTCTGGTGTATGTTCAAATTTCATTTTTTAACACTGCTACCATTTTTTACCATTTTTTTTTTAATTTTTGCTGTTATATTTCTCATCTTTAAGGAGCTCTTTTTCGTTTTATGCCAATTCCTTAAAAAAAATAACGTTCTTTTTCAGTTTCACATCTTTAATGTTTCCAGCATCTCTTAGAGGCATCAGGAGCAAATGTGTGTGTGTGTGTGTGTGTATAGCTTCACACATTTATTTTTCTTGATTTTTTCTGTTTCTTTTTTTCTTTGTTTTTGCATTTTATCTTTTGTTTCTGGTTAATGTGTCAGTGCACATTAGTGTAGTGATTCTTGACTACCATTCATTTTAAGAGAGAGAATAAATTGGTGATTGGAAGCTCTTTGTGCCAGGCAAGAACAGCTGAAAGAAAAACTTTATCATAGGCAACTGAGCCTGAGTCATTATCTCATTGGTAGAAGAATAATTTTCAGTAAGCAGGGAGACAGAACAGCAGCCTGGCTATTCAGGACTAGGGAAAGATCCGAGAGGCTCAGAGCCCCTTTTAGACTTTAAAGTCATCCTCAGTATAATAAATAAACAAATGAACAAATAACAAATAAATCAGTAATTATTAATTAATTAATAAATAATAAAAATTTGAAAATAAAATAAAACCATCCTCAGTATTGAGCTCTGGCTTTTACCTCAGTTTTCACCTCCGCTTTCAGTGTTATCTGCAGCCAGCTCTTTCTGGCTCTTCCAGGATCTCATGGATAAAGCCCCTTGTTTCCCTTTACTCTTGTCTTTGTCGGCCTGCAAATTTCATCTTTCATTTCCTTCTACTTGGACAGTGTCAAATGTCCTCAAATGTCCTCTTTCCATCTTCTAAACTTTTCATCATCTCTTGTCTGTTACTGACCCAGTCATATAGATGGTTTTTGTCTTTTTGATTAATGCCTTTTTGTTCTGTTCTTTCCAGTTTGGAGGAGATGTGAGAAAACAGTGTTTTAATCTTCCATGTTTATTTTGGGGAAAACTTTTGAGGAACATGTGAAAAGGGAAGAGTATGAGTTATTCCTGCATAAGAATTTGAAAGTGTCTACTAGTTTGTAAGAAGTCATGTTAAAACAAATCAAGGGAGCCAGGCTTGGTGGTGCCCACCTGTAATCCCAGAGACTAGAGAATGAGGCAGGAGGATTGGAAGTTTGAGGTCAGCCTGGGCTATGTAGTGAGAACTTGTCTCAAAATAAAAACAATAAAAAATAAGACTGGGTATGTAGCTCAGACAATCCCCAGTACTAAAGAAAAAAAAATCAAGGGGCATTTAAGAGAGATATATAGCAGCAAAACCAATGTTGTAGTCATTCTGTCTCCCTGTTTTCAACTAGAAGGGTTTTTTGGCTCTGGATGATTGCCAAACTACTTAGAATTTTGAAGAAAAATTTTTAAAAATTAACTGTTCCCAAATTGTTTGTAAAACCAGTGTCTACAGGCATATGCCTATGGCCATATTTTTGGCTTAAATCTGGCCACTTAAGGATAGGGTTATTCTGGGTATTCTTGTAGGAATTTGATTCTGGATATTAGGATTTTTATAGCAAATTAGACCTCCCTCCATGCTTCCCTAAGTCTCCTGTTGAGAGAGCCTAGTGCATCAGACTAAATCCACACCTTTCTACTTCAGATTTTTTTGCTTAAGGGTCTAGTTTATACTTTCAAGGCTATTTTAATATAGGATCCAGTCTGGACATATTCTGGGGAGGAGAGGTGAGCAAAAGATGTATCAATGTCAGATTTTCCCATTCTGATTTCCTCCCAGTTCAAATGGGCAGACATAGGAATGGAAATTATTTATTCTGAGAATTCAGAGCTCATTATTGTTGAAATAGTAGAAAAGTACAATCGTCTCATATTTCTACCATTTCTTTTTGAGTCATCTATGAGAGAAGCCATGTCTAGACCTAAAACAATTTTGTGAAATGCACTCAGAATTGAGACAATTTCCAAGAATTTTATCTTTGACTAAATCCTTTCTAAAAATTCAGTATCTAAATACTATGCAGAAAATTGACAAAAAACCAAACCAAAACAAACAAACAAACAACAACAAAAAAAAACTTAGAAGCAATGAACAGACTCCCAATAGGTTACCAAGGAGAGAAGAGAGAACTATTTGTTTTGAGAAATATAAAAAGTTAACCTCTTAGAAATCCAAAGGCTTGACCTTCCTGTCACCCCATTTCCTTCAATTTGATGATTGAGAAAGGAAATGGAGCCACCATAAGCTTTGAGTATTGCACAAAAGTCTATGAAATCCAGACATAAGTAGTTTTTAAGTCGTAAAACATTTCTAAGAAATTTTTAGAGAAGAGATTTTTCTTCCAGCCACCTTACAATGACCAGGGCAATTAAAAGGGACCAGCACTGCTTTATAATGTCTGGATAGGTGAAAGCAACAGCTGAGTGTCTTCCCCATGGTGTTTTGATTTCTTTCTAAGGCTTGACATAATAGAATATTAGATACCTGCATGAAATTCTCTCTGGGCTTCAGTCAATAAACACTTATTACATAATTTGATACTAATTTTATTTCTAATTCTACTTTTTTGACAATAGGACCATGACATATTGAAATCCAAGAACTACTCAAATTTATCATGAAATAAGGTAAAAGTATAAACAAACAAAAGTATGTTTCACAAGGTATCATTTTAAATATCATTTTATGTATTTTTTCTTACCAAGCTAGTCTTCTAATATTATTGTATGGATTAAGAATTTTAGTCTCCTTTGAATGATCTTTTCTGACATAGTAGAACACCATAAAAACTGTTTTATGCTTGTAGCCTATAAAAAATATTGAACTCTGAACTCACTTCATCAGTGTGGTACACTCACTGCATGGTTACTGAAATCTGCATCATTAAAATGATATAGTAATGCTGAATATGTCAAAAGTTTGAATGTTTCTGTGTTCTTCTTTTGAACAGTCTAGTTAATTGTTAAATATCTTACAGAGTATTACCTCACAGCCATCTGCCAGGGCAAACCCTCCACCAACAAGAATGGCTATATCCCAAGGCATGAATGACTGGAATTCTTTCCAAGTAATCAGTGGAGAGTAACCAAAAGCAACTGAAAAAAAAAAAAGCTACAGTTAAATAGTGCTTAGAATGTACCACTATTCCCTGTTTTTTTCAGTATTCTACATAGTCATCTAACAGGAAGTTTGTAAAATTTCTATATTGTTTTGAAAAAGAAGATAGAACTTGTACTCGATTTTTGTTATTACTAAAATTTCTATAACTTGGAAAAAATCCTTTGGCAATATTTTGAAATACATTTAAGTAGATTATAACACTGTCACTTATAATGCTATTCATTCATTCATTCATTCATTCATTCATTCAACCATTCCACTACTCCTACTAATAACACAGTGAATTAGACTAGACATTTCTTTGTTATGTAGAATATTAACTTTTCATTGGCTCTAGTAGAATCACTGTACAATTTTAATTATTCTTCACTAAAATTTATTTGGGTACTTTATTATTTTTTAAGTCAGGAGAATCATGACGAATTCGTCAGGATTCCATTTTATAGGTAATCCAAAGCTCAGATTAAAAAATTAAAATTGTATTTGTGAAAATGAAAGCAATTATCACAAAGATATCTCCTGATATTTGGGTTCTGAGCTTTCCATTTATTTGTTGATAAGTAAGTTCATTTAGGAGCAAATTATCATTTAACATCTGTGTGTAAGAGGCAGCCTTCCGTATGATGAGATTATAAGATTGCTTTTCAACCTCCTTTTTATCTCCTTCCCCTAAATTGGAACCAAACCAACCTTCACTGATGACTGAAATTTTGCTACAGAATTTCTTAATTGGATTAAGGCCATATACTCTTTCAAAATGAAACATCTCTGAAATGACCTCTTACTTAAATTTAACAGAATATATCTTATCTGCCATTTTAAAACAAAGTGTAAAAAAATTTATCAGTGAGAAAAATGTGTTAAATGATGAGGGTGCCATGAAGGGTGGATAGGGACAGCTTTTTGAGAGAAGGATTCAGATCTAGGAACCAGGGAAGCTAGAGCTTACCACATTGGTCCCTCAGTGCTTGTCCTTGTTGGTATTTAGGGCTTTGATTGCCGTGCTTAGAGTCTTCAGGATCTCACAAGAATCAATGCTAAATATTCCACTATTCCTTAATACACATCAAGAATAATCCTAATCTCAAGTGAATAGCAAAATGCATTATTTATTTCTACATAATGCTTTTCACACATATCATGTCCTGAATATCTGATACATTAATTGTTTATGGAAAGTGATGGAAAGAGTCAGATGGGTCAATCCCATGGCACAAAACACAGTTTCTTTCCAGTAAAAACAAACAAACAATAAAAACTGTACATATCTATGACTCTATTTCCAAACTTACAAATTATGTGTTATGTGTCAACTCATTGACAATATAGGACCCTGACTACTTAAAACATGCTGTATTACTATAAAGTACAGACACGAATGAATCCTAGGTCTAAGGAGTGCACCTGTGAGAGAGTGTGTGCCCATGTAAATGCACATGCCTGTTTTTCCATGGGTTGTAAATACAGTAAATGCTCCCACTGAATACCATTCCTTTTGAATGAATACCATCCCTAGGTTATGGCTATGTGGGATTGAGTTTCTTTTCTTCCATAAGTACTGTGAGGATATAAATGCTCTTTCTCTTGAAATTCACATCACATTTTCATATCCTCAGCATTTACTATCAAGTTCTCATTAGAAAGCAATGACTTCCAAGTTTTTGTCTCTGTTTGCTGATATTAAGATTAATTCTGATTATGACAGAGAAGTTGGTTTATTATAGGTCATGTAGTATTGTTCATACATAGAAAAACCCTAACTATGGTTCATAAGAAAGCCTATTGTTAACTTCTGCATGTTAGGTGATCTCTCTTGTTGGTGTAGGACAAGTGCTGGCTAGATAGACGATACAGTGTGTAAATAGGGCATGCTAAGCCAGGAGTTGAGTCAGCACGGACATTCCTTCTGTTCTAAGTGCTAACTGAAACTGATGGAATTTGTAATTTTTTGCTCTTTTGTCAAATTCAATTAAAGTTAGTTATAAATGGTACTTAACCAGTTTCTCCTGTAGGTGTAGTTTTCGTCAGTGTTTTAGCTGGAATTACAAAAAAAAGGAGTCCTACAATTAAGGCAACAGTTGAATCTGTAACAAAACCAGGATTCCTGAAAAAAAAAATTGTTCATTAAAAAATGGCATTAAGAACTAGTGAGTTAAAACATCAATTGATTATGCCAATAGTACTTATTTAACAGGTGGCATAGCTTATTTACTCCATATAATCTGCTCTAAAGTCTATGGATTTCCAACCAGATGACACAACTCCGTAGAACCCATCATCAGAACACATTCCCATTGCTTTCATACAGTTCTTCTTATTTTCAATATCACATTTACAGATGCTGACATAATAGGTCAACTGGCCAAATTTCCCTTCTAGGTAAGCTTGCAGATTTGGGAATCAATTTCTTGTTTGATTTGTTTCTTTTAATTATATTTGCAGAAAATTGAGGTTGAAACAATTGATGTAATGGGCAAAAGCCCATAACATCCTTCTCTTGAACTGTGACAAAACATAATAATGATAGAGTCTTCTCAAATTCTTCTATAAACCATGAAAAGGAACTGATCTGTTTTCTTAGATATAACACCTGCTTCTGCAGTTTTATGTCCTAGTCATGTCAGACAAATAAAACCAACACATTTAATTCTTTGCACTCCATGAAACTCAGTCAAGAATATTAATTCCTGGGATGGTTTATGAGATGCTCATAAATTATCACTGTACAAATTAAGAGTGACTCAGGAACAGATGGGGGTCTTAGAATCACCAGGCCATTCCAGCAAATAACACAGGTTCCCCAAAGCCTCAACAGTTAAAAAGCACCTGGAAACCAGAAATAAATGAAACAGGGCATAGATAATTAGAATATAGTTTCAAAAGTCAGTAATATTAACTGAGTGCATTTTCATAGCCTGAGAAGAAATGCATATACCATAAGGATTAATTTTCTATACTGTAACTCAGTAATTTTTATATTTTAAAAGCTTTTCAACTCTCGTAATTTGCTTGAAAGATCTGAATAATTAAAGAAATGCAGCATCTTTCCCAATCTAACAACAAAAAAATTTAACAGGGTCTGTTTTCCTTAGACTTATTTTCTTTCATTTTGAATCAAAGCATATCACAGCATAATTTGTTCTATAAACTTGATCAACACTAATAATTTACTTTCTTATTTTTTATTTTAGTTATAATTTTTAGTTGAATTTTTGCCAACTTGGGCAAGGCATCATGTAACTGCAGTTTGCTTTATATGAAAAGACACATTGAATTCTGTCCAGGTTCAAACAGATGGAATGAAAACATTAGGTGGTAGCTATAAATCTTAATATATCATGCTAGGTTAGAAATTCTAAATGTCTAAAACCTCTAAGTAACAAATGTATTCAACAGAAAATATATTTCAAATAAAATCAAATCATAAATATTGAATAATTTATTTTTGAAAGATTTTTAGAACTATTATTATTTGATTATGACTTTTATTTTTAGCTCATTATGAATTAGGTTGTCTCAATATTATAAAATATTAAGCTTATACACATTTCATTTGCTTTGTGTCTGACAATTAGATTTATATTTTTCATCCTCTCTCAAACCTTTGTTCTCTTTCCTATTGTTTTTTTTTTCCTCCAAATTCTAGGTGACAGGAGCACCTGCCCATAACAAATGCACTGTTTTCCTGCTACAAACAAAGCATCTCCTGAATTACATTATCATTCCCTAAGGAGTAACACTTAGAAACTGATTAAACTGAATTTCCTATTGGGATTTTTGCCTGGTTTTTATTAGCTATTGTCTGGTTTCATTTAGTTCTTACATACTAGTATTAAGAGAAAGATTTCCCCTACCTTGGATGATAGGAGTTAGATTTTTGAAAGTTTATGTTGGTCTATATTCTATTACAAAACCACAAAGTGCTAATCAACTATTTAATAATAACTTTCTTTGAATAATTAGATGTTACTTTTTGTTGAAACCTCTCAAACTGAAAAGCATTACTCCTAAGGGAAGCCCATCTTTTATAAAATGCTATCATGTCATATTGCTTGACTTGTGGGGTCAGTAGAAATTTGGATTCAGACTTTGCACCTTTTAGATAATGGTGGCAATAGCTCTAAACCAGAAGGCTCTGAGTCAGAGATAGAAGAGTTTCTTTATTCCATGTGGCCAGCATACATCTGACTCAAAACAATTTTGGTTTCTGTCTCCAAACTATATGGATTATTGCTGGGGATTGTAAAACAAGAAGTCCAAGTCAGAAATCTCCTGAATTTAGGAATGAGAGTACTCCATTGAAAGGTACATTGGAAACACAAATCTCAAAACCAAATTATTCATATTGACATGTAGGATGGAAAAATCTTGTTATAATTTCCCCCTTCACTTCACATGACTCAGCAATGACTCTGGTATACAAGACTCCGAGAGATAAAATTAACTCTGCCAGGCTTTTAGTATTAGCTTTTAAAATCAGTCTTATTACTAATTCAGGAAATTCTTATCTTTGAAATGGAGGTTGAGCTGAATTTGTAGTGAACTAGTCCCACAATATATGTACATGGAAAGAATGACAAGCTCAATCAATAGACTTCCATAGAGGGAAGGAATATCATAATAATAGTAAGTTGGATAAATTTATGTCAGATTATTCACAGGCATTGAGTGGCATTTCTTTCATGTAATAAGCATTTGTATAGCATTTTCTACAGGAAAAGGAGCAGCACTCTTCTGAGTGATATTACTGTCTGCATTTTAAAGATGAAGATGAAGAGGCAGTTCAGTGACTTGCCTAGAGTAAGTGGAAGAGCCCAGGAGTGGAACCCAGGCAGTGTGTCTCTGACGTCCCTACTCCTGACCTCTACAGACTGCAGCTTTTCTGCAGATGATATTTCCAATTTTGTAAGGAGGATATAGCCTTGCTTAATGTTCCCTGGTGTTCTATTATAGGATAGTACGGTTATCCTTTCTTAACCTTAGGTTTTATTTCTTAAAATTATTTTTTCCTGAAAAGATTAGAAATAAAAAAAAATATCTTTTCAAAAGAAAGAAAGAAAAGAATCTCATACTATCTTTTCAAGATACAGGAATTACGTAGGAGAGAAGTTCAGTATAAGACAGGGAAGTTCTGACAAGCCTAGCATGTAATACTTACTCTGAAAAAAGTTCAGACCAACCAGAGATAAAGCCAGGATCTCGGCTAAACCATAAAAGGGCCATTATAATGAAGAGAATCAAGGTCACGATTTCTTGATACCTGTGGAAAGACTCCAGTCATTTCTTTGTTTCTCTGTCAGGATATTTGTGAAAACTCTCTGAGCTATTGTCAAGAATAATTTTAGCAGAGCACTAAACTCTGTAAGAACTGGATATGTCGATGATTTGAGAGCATCATACAGTTGGATAAAGCTCTCCCCCCTTGGTGGGCTCTCTCAGCTTCTTGTCCTTCTATACTGGAAAATTCTAGTTCAACAGTGGCATGTATTTTATCATGTTTATCATAAAATTTAGCAAATTTCATGTGTGAATCGAATATTACACCTTGTGGACAATGATGTGCTTATTTTATTTGCTTTTAAACAACTATTTGCAATCCGTGTGTGTGTGTGTGTGTGTGTGTAGCTTACCTCATTGGGCCAAGTTTTTTGTATTCTTGCTTGATCACCTCAGCGCAAGCTTTTTCTTTCACAGTTTTGGTTTTGCCACATTTGAACAACTCCTTAAAACTGAAAAAGAAGTAAAGACTCTTAAGCAAAGGGTTCTTTCACCACTGCCCTCCTTTACAGACGACATTTTTGTGATAACCTTTTATGATATGAAACTCACTGCTAAGAACAGAAATCTCTGCTTTCCAAATATTCCTCCCCTCTCTTTTTGATTGTCTTCTCTGTTTTTACTTGGTTGACTCACTTCTCAATGCTTAATTATTGTTGCATATTTTCCATGATGTCTTCCACCAATCTCATAATTTTCCAAGTCCTTTGGTGTCACTGGAATTTTTCCATGTGCCACTCATCCCTGTCTAAAACTTTTTTCTATGCTCCATCATTATATTACGTTTAAAAACATATTTATTATAAATCTTGTTTGATATACACATGTAAGTTTTATCCCAGTAGTTAGATAAATAAATAATTTGAGGACAGGGACAGTGACAGTGTCATACATGTTTTCTTTGGCCCCATATCTCTTACCACTGACATACACAGTAAATACCTGACTCATCAACTCAACAGTACCTTTGGCAAATTTATGAGACAGTGGGTGTCAGGTCCATCAATTTTCACAAAATGCTCAATTTGAGTTTTTACACTAGAACAGGAAAGGCACATAGATAGATCCTGGTCAGAATTTAAACTAGATCTATTCTCAAAAGTAAAACCAACAATATTGATTTTTCTCTAAGTTTCTGCACACTTCTGTCCTAACAGCACCTAGTAGATCTTCCAATTTATTTCCAGGAGTAACTGCTACTCTTTATTGCTTTTAGTTACTTATTTTCTTGACCATGGTTCCCTGTGACATAATTTTTCTGTCCTAAATTCCAGGGTTTTCAAAACTTTAAAGAGTTTTTGTGGAACACTGCTCTATATGGATTTCTTTTTTCTTTTGGTTAGTTTGTTTTTATAAATCCCCCCAGAGGCAGAAGAAAAATGGGGAGATGGCTAAATTCTTAGAGATTATCTCTTAGAATATTCTTGGGTAGCTTAGTTTAAGTTATGTGTAGATAGAGAAAGTGGACACATTTTCTTCTGTAGACTTTTGGGTTACACATATGTACTTATGAGAGACCAAGTAGAAAGACTAGGATTATGAGATGGTAGTTTTCTCACCAATGTACATGATGATTTAATCTATTTCCCCCCCACACACATTTGCACTATTCAGCCTTGTTTGGGGTGTGATTCCCTTTGAAGGAGCAGAATTTCCTCAATTCTTAAGCTATCCGTTCTGTACATTTATAATTATCCTCATGGGTAAACCCTAACCCATGAAAATAATTAGATGGATATTGTTGTTGTCCTATCAATGAGGGAATAATCATATTTTACAGTTTCAATTATGTTATTGAACAGTGCTAATCTCCGGACAATATTCCTTTTTCACAACGTAAGTAGCACTATTATGAGAAACGAATCCATGAGCCACCTTGAGAATACTCACTGGAAAAGTATAGCTAATGAAAAAGATAACCTCTCTTAGAAGCTGCTCTCCACCCAGTGCACTACATATATACTCGGTCCCCTTGGTTGCAGATAGTAAATAGTTAAGTCAAAGCCAATTGGCTTTGCTACAAATGAAGGTTAGTTCCTTCATGAAGGAAATGATGAAGCATGTGCCAATGCATCAACCCCAACCTCTCCATTTAAATCAGTTCCAAGGCCCTGATAGATGAGCTACACTTCCCAAGTATAATGGAACATTTATAATGGGTGAATTAACTATGTTAACAGTCAACACACTAATCAGAATGTATGGTAGCCTGCCAGGGGAGGGGCTCATAATTTCTGTTGATTTAAAACCTCTGGAGGTAAACATCCTGGCAGACCGAAAAGGACACTGAAAAATTAGCCAGAACATGAAGCTGTGCTGTGTGTAACCAGTAGTGGACAGAAAGGGGACTGTTCAAACCTGCCACTCATCATGATTTATGGGTTTTGCCTAATGTATGCACTACACAGGATTTTTTTTCTTCCTTTATCTTACTTATTTCTCTTTTCTGAGTTGTATTAAAATAATGACAGTGGTTGCACATATATTTTGTAAAGTCTTTATATGTAGCAACAGAGCAAAACAGCTGGGGGCCTGTGACCAGATCTTTTATCCGTTGGCGCTGGACTCCTGTCCCCTTGTCTGACATTGCTACCTATACAATTGGGGAGCCCCAAAGGCTTGGGTTTCCTGGGAGGGGCACAGAGTATCAGCTGGCCTCTCCCCACTGATGCCCACCTGCTGAAGTCAGTGACATCCCACACATTTGCTTCAGCGGGAGGACTGCCACATGCTGCTCCCACAATCTGGACAGAATTATTTTTGTTAAATCATTAGTAACATCTTTCCACTACTAAAACCACTGGGCAGTTCTGGAGAAAAATCAGGAAGAATTGAGAGAGGAGCATGTCAGTCCTTATGTTACTAGGCTTGGAAAACGTGGGCACAGGCAGGAAACCACACCCACCATACTATTTTGCTTTTCAAAAGAAGTACAAATAGCTGACTTCAGCCTCATTGTCTATGTGAATAATATGCTGTTTTATTTATAGGTCCTGGAAATTATTTAAATAAAACTCCACAAAAATGAATTTGAATTATTTTCTTTTTCTCTTTCTTTTCTCTTTTTGGAGTATTACTAAATGAATTGAAAACATAGGCTGCATTTTAGGTTTTCCTGAGAAGCCCTTCTTAATTTTTAGTGTCAGCTGTCATCTAAATCGTATAACTCATTGCTGCTTATGAGATTTAATCCTAGCCAAAATAATATATATATATATACATTTTATTGGCATCAGCAATTCTTTATTGATCAGTGTATCTTATCTCGGGTACTATGTATTCGACTTGTACCCTTGTGTGTTAGAATCACAGTGTTGGAATCCATCTTTGTGAAGTCTAACTTTTTACAGTTGAAGAACTGAGACTTGGGACTGGGTCAGGACTTGCAAAGATCACTCATCTGGCCTCTGAGAGGCCACAGTGTTATCCCTGTTTGCCCAATCCCTGAGATAATAGAGAATATTCTTAGATATTCAATTTACTTTATATGTTAGAGCCTGTTTCAATTTTGGTTCTAGCAAAAAGCAGGAAGCCCTGTGTGCTTTGTTTGAAAGTAACTTATAACCCAAAGCCTCTCCCAACTGATGCCTACCTGCTGAAGTCAATGACATTGAGTCAAGTAGAAGGCCAAAACTTCTAAAAACTCCACTTTGACATGTTGGATTGAGTCCTCTTCATAATGGGTTCCTTATACCCTTCTGGCTTATGCATATTGTAGTGAATTAGGACTCAAAGAACACCTGGATGGATTTGCCTTATAGACTCTTTTCCACAGCCAACATTGCTTAAATGAGATTCTAGCTTACCTTTAAAATTTATTCATGCATATCAGTTTTGTGGGTAATAAAAAGATGGAAAAGCACCAGACAACTCGGAACCTGGACACCTTTATTTATTTTATTAACATAAAAAATTGACTTATGGGGCTGGGGTTGTAGCTTAGTGGTTGAGTGTTTGTCTCGCATGTGTGAGTCACTGAGTTCAATCTTCAGCACAACATAAAATAAATAAATAAAGCAAAGATATTGTGTCCACCTACAAGTAAAAAAAAAGTTAAAAAAAAAAGTTGACTTACTTGAATCCCAGGAAAAGCCACTGAAGCCAGATCCAGGACAAGAGTAGAAGAATAATAGCAATTGGGAAGGAAAACAAAAACCATGATCCAAAGTTGAGGCAATCACAATCAGGATAGCGTCTGTATGGAAATACAGAGAAGCATTCAGAAGAGGCATGAGTGAAATCCCTTCCGATAGTCACTGGGAAGCAGTGGTCCACATTTCTTGTGCTGCTGGACAAGAAGGCAGTTCCGCCATGTATTTACCATTAAGCACAGTAGTTAGTTGTACTCCTTGTCTCCTTTCTTAATTTCGCAAATTTGTATTTATTGCTGCATCCCAGAAAAGCAAGAGTGGGTATGTTTTGATCTCTTTTCCCTTCGTTCAATCTGTAGCACTGTACTGACATTCATTAAATGCATAAGAAATGTGTGTGCACCGGGAGGGTGTGTTTTTGTTGTTGTTGTTGTTGTTGTTACTACTCAAATCAGAATAGAAGTAAAGAAAGACACATTATCAGACTTGGGAACTGGTGAAAATTAACAGAAGTATCTGTTACCATTTCACTTTGGAAGAGGGTTTCCTTTATTCTTAGGCGGGGGCTCTGATCTATCCTGTACTGCCTCTCATGGCTGTTTGCTTTTCCCTGATTCTTCTGCCCCCAACCACAGTCATCCTAGAGCCTCAGTAGCCCTTTCTTCCTAGATCCAGATGATGCTTTGGGGCTCAGTCAAATGAAATAAATCTGGGCCAGATGAGAACAGTAAAAATGTTCTTGGGAAAGCATCAACATCTTCTTTATTTCTTCTAGTTGCTATCAACTTTTTAACTCACGTAATAGCAAAACAACAGTTTCTTTGCTGACCTCACACTCATTATTTAAAAATGTGGTCTAAATACCAATAAATTCTCATCTAGTTATCTATTTTACAAATACAGAAAAACAACAGGAAATTTAAGAAATTGTCTCTTTAACATTTTTTTAAAGCAACAACACAGAGTTGGAAATCTGAACAATATGGAAAATATACATAAGTAATAAAAATATCACTAACATGCTTTAATATTTTTTAAATCACTAAGTACAGAAAACTTTATATAAATATATATTTTCAGTTTAGTTCTATTTAAGTTACACCTTTCATTTTATTACTTACAAAGACCATATAAATAAATGTAGTGTTTCATATTACATTTATGTATCAAATCTATGTACTTTAGAAAGTTCCTTATACTTTATGAGGGTTTCTAAGTGATGAACAACTTAAAAACTCATAGTAGGTATTCAAAATTAAAGATTTCTAAAGTTTTCTGCAATTTTTGTTGAGCTTATAAAAAATTACTAATCTTTCTGAGGCCCTTGAGTTATCTTTATCAACTTGAGGATAATTTTTTATCTATGTTGTAGTGATCGGATCCAAGGATTAGTTTATTTTTTGAAACTATAAAATGATAAATGATAAAAAGAAATGTTAGAAAATACATAGAATTAGATGAATGCTTTATTATGTTCAGAAGGCTCTTGAAAATTGCTCATTTTTGAAAAAACTTTTTCTTTAGTTGGAAAACAAAATATGGGGAAAAGGCTTAAACTGATTTTCCATCAATTTTATTAGACTTGGATTACAAGATGACCTTTGTGATTCTGTTCAGCCTAGAGATACTTGGAAATACTACATCGTTTCAGTTCAGAACAAGGCCTCATTTTTCACTTTCTATACATCATACCTGTATTGCTCTCCCACCTGCTGGACAGAACCGTGCAAATATGTTTAGCAAATATGGGTTCTTCAGAATTTTTGCCTGAATGAATAGTTTAAGAATAAGAAAGCTTGAAAGAGATAAACTTTTTTTTTCCTTGAGAAGTAAGGAAATATATAAACAGCCACACAGAATTGTGACCTTTTGATCATAGTCTTAACACATACTTGGAATGAATATTCTGAATTGCATTCTCTTTGCTCTGATGGCCTTTTCTCATGTTTTCTTATATTCTACAAGCGAATTGACTGCAAATACGTGCCTAAAGCAACATTGATCTTTTCTATCATAAGTTATGTTAAGAAAGTCAATTCTGATAAAGTTCTTTTCATTTACCCAACACTGTGTTGGGTGTCTACTCATGTTTGATCCAGGAGTATTTATGATAGGTACTCTTCTAACTATTGAGGATCCAATAGTAAATGAGATGGATGTGGTCCAGATTCTCAAGAACCTTATACTAAAATAATGTGTGCAGAAAATAAACAGAGAAGAAAATTCTGAAAAAGAAAATTAAACCGAATAATGTAATAAAAAGCTATTAGAAGAAAGAAGAGAATTTACATAGTACGATCAGAGAAGGTGAAACTCAAGATGAGATATAAATTGTAAGAAGGAGAAAGGAAAAACAAGGATTGGTAAGAATGTGGATAAAATGAAACCATTGCACATTGTTACCTTGTAAATTATATGTACAGCATTATGGAAAGCACTGGATGCTCCTAAAAATTAAGAAAAAAAAATACTTCCATATGATCCAGAAAACCCACTCCTCTGTGTGTGTGTGTGTGTGTGTGTATTTCCAAATGAAATGAAATGAAATGATTATGTTGAGGAGATATCTGCTCTCCTATTCTTATTCCAACAGTATTCACAATAGCCAAGAAACAGATACAACCTAATGGTCCACCAACTGATGAATGGGTCAAGAAATGTAGTGCACATACACAAAATGGAATGTTATTCAATTGTATAAAAGATGAAGTCATGTAATTTTTGTTAACATGAATGGAACTGGAAGATGTGCATTGTGTAAATTAAGCTAGGGATAGACAAATGCCACATGATGTCATTCAGGTGGAATCTAAGTAAAGTTCATGTCATTGATGTTGAGAGCAAAATGATCATAATCAGAGGCTGGGGACAACTGTCTGGGAGGCAGGATGGAAAAGGTTAATCACTGAGTACCAAGCTACAGTTGGGTAGGAGAAATAAAATCTCGTGTTCCATTGTACAGTAGGATCACTATAGATGATAATGCACTAAATGTTTCAAAAAAGCTAAAAGATAGGATTTTGAATGTTCACTATGAAGAAATGATGGTTGTTTGAAGAGATATAGATGCTTCAAGCCCTTATTTGAATATTATCCAGTGTATTTTGAAATAGCACCTGTTACCACATAAAGATGTACAAGTTTTATGTGTTAGCTTAAGAAGTTTGGTGGTGAAGATGAAGAGAAGGCAATAGTTTTTAGATACATTTGGAATAAAATTTGAGAAATGGAGGAAAAAGGTCACATATTGAAATGGTGAAATCTGGGTAAAGACAGGTGGGCAGGGGACTAGGAAAAGGAGTGACGGCTGCTCAAATTTCCTCTGGGAATGTTAACTTGAGATGGCTTTAGTTTACTAAGTGATCATTTTGGATATTCAGCTAGATAAGTGACTCTAGAATTCAGAGGAAAAAGTAGGGATAGAGATATGAAATTGGCAATCATCAGTGTATAGGTGGTATTATAAAGATATGGAAATGGGTGTGATACAGTGAGCTTTGGTGTATGTCGAGTTGTCAAGGAAAGGCAGAGGTTTAGGAATGAGCAGATGAGCTAAGCACATTTAATTCTGATGAAAATCCTGTGATCAGGGCATTATGTTTCCATTTTACACAGGAAGAAATCAAATCCCAAGGGGTTAAGTGAAGCGCTCAAGGTCACAGATCGTGCAGTTAACGTGGATTTTTCAACCTGTGAGGGAGTTTTATTTTAAAACACAACCGCCTCTTTTCATTAAAGCACTGAAAAGATTGAAATTTCCATATATATTATGGAGTACCCATAGCCAGAATGCAACTTTAAGTTTCTAAGGAAATTTAAAAACAAACTGTAGAAATGACTGCACCATAACCCAGAGGCATGCTTTGACCTAAAGCATATGTGTGCTTAAATTTTGATACCTAGGAAGATAACATTGTCATTGCAGTTCTTATGATCAATGAAATACCCAGAAATACCAATGAAACACAAAGAAATGGCTATGAAAGTATGGATGTAGTCATGGAAATTTACAACCTTGTAACAGATTTTGGCCATTAAGCCCCATAATAAGCTAGTGTCTACACTGATTATAGTTCCATTGATTAATGACTGTTTTGATTATTTCTGAGACAAAGCCACTTTTTTGTTTTGGATTTGTCTGCTTCCAGAGGGTTTTTTTTAATATTAATTGCTCATTATTCAGAAGCCAGGCTTAGATTTTTAACAGCGATAACAGAAGTAAGAGCAGCAGCAATAACAGTAGCTACCATTGCTGACAAGTTGTCCTGTGTGCCAGGCTCTCTATTACAGTTGCATGTGCACTATGTCTTTAAATCCTTACAATAAGAAGTTTTAGTTTGCCCTCATTTTACACAGGAGGAAACTGACCTTCACAAGGTACAGCTAATATACAGCAGGCTTGAAATCTGAGCCAAAGTTTAAATACAAACTCTATAATGTCCAAATGTCTTCTACAGTATTTTCCAGAGAAATTATTTCTGAAAAATTTAAGTTTATGAAGGGAAAATCCTGGTAACCTTTGAATATGGCTATTGTTAAGTAATTGGATTACCTCCTCCCTTTATTTAGCAAAGAGTAGAGAGTGGGCAGATGGGCTTTGAATTAGGGCAAGCATAATGGGTTTCCTTTAGCACTCCTACATTATGAACCTATGGTATAATCCTCAACATACCTGTGGCTCTGCTTTCCACAATTTCAATTATCCATGGTCAATAATGAACCAAAAATATTAATATTTTTTTTACTCTTTCAGGACAGAAATTACATTCATCCAATTTTTATTATAGTAGTGATAGTACTGTTACAATGGCCCTATTTTGTTATTTGTTCATGTTGTCAATCTCCTATTGTGCTAAATTTATAATTTAAATTTATCATAAGCATTTTTGAATAGAAAAAAAAAAAACATTATCTGTATGGTTTGGTACTATCTGGAGTTTGGGGCATCCACTGAGAGTTTTGGAACATACCCCTTGTGGATAAAGGGGGATTATTATTATTTAACACATAGTAATCATGACTGTGCTAATAGTTGGTAACACAACTTTCTTCTAAGCTGCATTCTATACCCATGATTTCACAAATGGCAACTATAAACTGAATA